TGTAAACATGCTTTCCATGTTCACGTTTTCAGTATGCCATCAAAGCTCGTAATCATGCAGCATGCAAGTCACAACCACAAACAATCTGTCAAGGAAAACAACACGAATCCTGCTCCAATTTCATATGTCACCCTTCAGCAGGCGCACATACAAATGAATCAAGCGTTCAGATCCAAATTGGTTGCATACTGACCTGCCAATGGCCACCATGAATGTAGCGGACCTCTGGTTGGCCTGTGAGACCAGCCCCTTGGCCTGTTCTCACAGGCCTGTGTTGTATTCGGGGCAGTCCAGTCCAGGCCGGTACCTCTGTCGGTACCAGCCAGTCCAGTCCAGTCCCGTCCCATCAGTCCGCTGGGGTATACCCCAGCAGTAGTCTGTTTTCTCGCTCATTCTACTTTCGGACAGTTTGGAGTACGTGCGTTGGAGTCCGGCGTGGGAGCTGCGCTGTGCCATCTCGCTCCCCTTCTTCCTCCATCTTCATCTCTATCTCTGGCGGAGCACCACACCCGGTGGGTCGGCCACACTGGTATCAGAGCGGGAACGTTCCCCGCTCCCCACCCACCCACCGCACAGCAGGGAAAACAGCAAAACCCGACAGCGGGTTTTTTTCGCTGTTTTTCAGGTGTTTTCCAGCAAAAAGGAGGAAAAAAGCAGGCGCAGCAGGAAGGTGACACATGGCGGGAAAAAGCAGGCGGCACCACGAGTGCGTGCGCGCAAGCGCCAAGGCCAAGGTCGCCGCACGTGCGCGCGGGCCACGCTGCCCCACCCTGCCCCCGAATTATATTATCAGCACGCGCGCGCGCCACGCTCCCACGCTGCCCCGCTGCCCTGCCCCGCCGCGCCGCCAGATTATATTATCAAGATCTGGGATGCTGATGCTGCGGGGGTTTGAACCCAGGCAACTGTCGGGCTTGTGCGTGCGTCTTCCGCTGCCATAACACACTCGCCACAGTGTGTATATGGTCTTATACAGCAGCACATTGCTGTTCAACAGTTGTGTGCCAGCTATTTAC